GAAAGTCTGTCCCCATCTTTCTTCTAGTTCCCCCCCAGCAGGTCTCCCCAGCTGGAGCCTTCTCCTCTCAGCTGCCCCAGCCCAACTCTCTCCTGCTGGGCTCCCAGCAGAGGGGTTCCCCCCTCGGGGCATTGCTGGGGCTCCTCTGGCCCCGCTCCAGCAGGTCCCTGTCCCACAGGGCCACCCCTAGGTGGGAAGGTGTGGAGGCGCTGGGCAAGCGGTTCCAGTGCCCACGTGTGTATCTGTTGATGTTTTGCCAAGTAAAAGTGCATTTGCAGGGGATCTTCCCAGAGCTGTTTCCAGCAACACTTGGTGCAGTCTTTTCCATTTCTGTCAGGTTCTCCTTCATCAGCCCCCCATTTTTTCTCCTGCCAGGGTGTTCTGTGTGGAGTTAGAGCTACGTGCTGTCACTCTGAGATTAAAATGCCGTACGTTGGTTCACAAGATCTGTAGTACCTGTGCTGGAGATAAACAAAATAACATTTTATAAAGAGAAGATTATTTTTTCGTTTAGATGCAATATATAATGTTTTCAGTTACAAATTCCTCATTTCTCCTATATTTAAACTCCAATTGGGACTGTTTTAGGAAGTGTTTTAGTCACCTCCATACAGGGTATGAAATCTATTTAAGATAATCTGCCAAGGTTATTTTGTTTATTGTTTATTAAGGGGTAAGAGTTCCAGTGCAGGCTGCAAAGCAGCAAACTCTTATTTTTCCTGCTGGTGAGTCCCTTTGCTGCACTATTTCAGAGTAACCTTCCTGCCTTTCCCCGAGGGCTGTGCAGCCTGGGATGACTCTGCAGGCTGCACGGGAAGTCGTTCCACACCAGCTGACTGGCCACAGGAACTACATCACAGCTCTTTCTTTGTCTGGGAGTTGAATAGGAGCCAGTTGGAATGACAGGCCCCAAGTGCTGCCCAGCTTATCAGCACTCAGTTCAGTGTGTTTCCACAGCTGCTGGCAGCAGCAGCAAACCGTAGACATGGATTTGCTTAGAAATCAGAGGGAAGCCACCAAAAATTTTGCAGTTGTCATCCTGTAACAGGTACAAGCACATCATTTCTACCACATGCTACCTAGAATTCTTTTGTTTATAGATGACATTGATTTCACAGAAGCAAAAGCTGTGACATGGATCCAACAAACCAATTTTTCATCTTTGAGCTGCAGATTGTACTTGAAATCTGGGTTTCATTTTGTATAGGAGTTACAAGTTAGCAAGGGAAAATCAGTGAAATACTTCTGGCATGAACTGCCAATATCAGAAGATGATGATATGTCTTCTGGATTCACTTAATGATGTTGGAAACTTCTCTCTTTCACTGATCTAAGTTTTACCTTTCAGATAGGAACCAGATGTCATGTTTAGAGTGTATGCATCAAAGACACAAAAAGACCAGCTCACTACAGAGTCGTCAAGGCCTGGAAAATGCTGCCCAGGGCAGGGGTGGAGTCCCCATTCCTGGAGGGGTTTCCAAGCTGTGGAGATGTGGTGCTGAGTGACATGGGTTAGTGGGGACATGGCAGTGCTGGGGGAACAGTTGGACCTGATGATCTTAATGGTCTCTTCTAACCAGAATGATTCTATGATTTTGTGATTCTCTTGAACTTCTGTGCCATCAGATTAGGTCTGTGCCTGCCCCTATTAGTGATAACCCACATCAATTTCTGTAAAGTGAATCTGAGATGACCCATAGAATTTTCATCCTTAAAAGATCAAAAACAATCTACTCTTGTGTGTGAGTGAAGCTGAGATTTACAGGTTTAATCTGTAGTATCAACATTGCTATTAGCTGTTGCTGCCACTCTCAGCATTCATCCTTTGAGTGGCTTTTATCTATGCTCTATCCAAAAAAGAGAGGGAGGAGACAAGTTTCCAAGCCTTTGAGTTTGCAACGAGACAGGATTATTCACAGCGGTGGTCAGGGTTTTTGTGGGACAGGGACCAAAGCCTTGTGTCAGTAATGTGTTAAAAGCCAGCCAGCTTTGTCAGAGGAGGAGCAGGCGCTTGCAGAAGTCAGGCTGGAGCAGGCTGAAGGGGTGAGAGCTGTCCCTGTGTGAAGAGCAGCTGGTGTGTGGGCACAGCCTGACTGGGTGGGTCCTGTCCCTGCAGCCAGCGGTGTCGGTGGGGAACGTCGGCCAGCTGGCCGTGGACCTCGTCATTGCCACCCTTCACATGAGCAAGGCTGGCTACTTCTACACCGACTGCCTGGTGCCCATGGTTGGAAATAACCCCTATGCAACAGCAGAAGACAACTCGGGGGAGCTGAGTATAAATGCTGAAGGTGGGTACTGAGTGCAGAAGGTATTTGCAAGCTGCAAAACCACGTTGGCTTTTGTTGTTGATGTATCTTGCTTCTATGAACAATGTTTAAACCAAAGTTAGTGATAACAGCTTCAATAACTTCCAAAAAAAAATCCATTTACACTTCACAGAGGGAATTGTTACTATTGTTGTGTGGGATAACCAATTTGACACATGGAACCAGTAAGAAATGTTGAATTCCAACCATATTACAGTGCAGCCAAAACTCTGTGGTTTTAACCCAAAGCAACATGAAGTGTGCACATACTTACAGTTAAGTGCCAGAATGCGAGCTGCATTTCTGCTGTAGAAGGATATTTATCCCCCCTTTCCCTCCCCTCCTCTCCTGTGTTTGCCTTTTTCCTTATGTGGTGTTTCTGCCTCTTCCCCCTTCAAATTCTAGTCTCGTTCCTTATATTGATAATTACATTTTGTGGGTTTTTTTCCCCCTCTTGATTCACAGAAATCTCAGAATAACCTCTCAATCTTAGCAAAGCTGCAGAAAGGGATGATCTGACTCATTACAGGAGGCAGGTCTTCCTGTATAGTTCTTCATTCAGTCCTTTCAGCTTATGACAAGTGAAATCAAGTCCAGTGAAGACACTGCACAAAAATAATTCTTAACACTGTGGATATTGTCAGGCTTTCCCATGTGAATTGCTAGCTGAAAGGTTTGCTGTCCTGAAGTCTGTAAATTGGATTAACCTGGACAAACCCAGATCTCTTTCTTGCTTTTTTTCTTACAAAACTTATTTCTTCTTGTAGTGTATTCCTTACCTTCCAAGAAGCTCGTAGCTCTGCAGATCAGATCCCCTTTTATAAAGGTATGTACAGTGGGTTGTTCACTCACTGCCTGTTCCTGCTTGGCTCTTCAGTTTGAATAATTCTGCTGCCAGACAGTGCAAGTGGCCCAGCAAAATATTTTTTGACTTTGTGCTATGACACATTTCTGCAGGTGGTAGTTCTAGCTAAAACCTGACTTCTGCATTCTGTGTGGGCTGAGGTGTTGCTTTGGCTTTCCAAGGCCCAGAAGAGCCCACCCACGCTGCTAGATTTTAGTGTCAAACTGTCCTTCCTTGTTAACAGCCTGGGAAGTACAAAGTATCTCAGTTTTATCCAGTTCTTTTCTTTTTTTCCCCTTTTTTGTGTGTCCTTTTATTGTAATAGCTTAATTTTTGGTGTCACTTCAACTTAATTATTTCATAGTGTTCTCTATTCTTTTAAACTGCATTCATTGTGTTAAAAATGAAGAATTTAGAATTCCTCATTAACTAGAGAGTGGCTGTAATTTAAAAGAGGCAGAACACCTTGCTAGGAGAAATTTGGTGCTGCCATTTTTTAGCAGTTTAGGGTGGGGAGTAATACTGTGTGATCCTTCCATCCCATCTTCCTCTAAAGCTTTTTTCACTGGTATTGCTGGCACACAAAGCAGATGGTGCTGTGGTTGTTAACCAGGCCTTAATGACAATTTTTATCATTTTATGGGTAGTTTTAATTAACTAAATAACCAGAGCAGTCTCCTCTGCTTTCTAAAAATACATCTCAGGCTGAAGACTAAATGGAGAGGGAGACAAACTTACACCACCGCTAAACATTTAATGTAACATCTAGTCTTGTTGGCTTTTGGCTTTTTTTTTCAAGGATGCAGTATATTTTTCCCTGTTTTCTCTCTCTTTGCCTGAAGAACAAGTCCAGGCCATTCTGTGAAGCCCTGCTGTCGTGGGTGAAAAGCAGCAACTGTGCCCGAGTGGTTCTGCTGTCCAGCAGCCACGCGTACCAGCGCGATGACGAGCAACTTCTTGGGTATGTTTGTCCATTAACAGACCTAATTAATATTTCTTTTTGACAAACTGGCTTTGGCAATCTGCATAGATTTGCCATGTGAGCTTATTAGAAATACTTTATCCCAGTGAAGTCCAAGTTTACCCTAACTTTAAATTACTTCCCTGCTATCTGAAAGAAGAAGCACGTTTTATTTGTAAATCATTTTAACCAGAAGCAGTTCTATTTATGTGCTCATGTGCCTGATACTTGCCAGTTCTTTGAACCTCCAAGCAAAGGGTACCTGAGTTCTATTTGTGGCAGAAGGTTGAGCTGTTTTGAGGCCACAGACTACTTTTTAGGTCCTTATTTGAGGGGGAAGGGAGTGTCAGTGTAATTCTTGTGGGAGGTCCTCAGTGCTTCCAGCTTCTTCCTGCCACAGGGTAATAGCTTGTGTAGTGTCTTTTATTAACTCCTCTTGTCAGACTGAATGTATTCTGCATTTGTTTCTAGGACACCACTACGCTACCTACTTACACCTGATCTGGAGAAAGCAGTTGGAGGCCTTATGCAGGAGCTAAACTGGAAAGAAATGGAAAAAGTAGCAGCTTACCCTGGAATAAATGATGCAGAAAAAATTCTACATATTCCTGGAGGTGGCATCACAAAACTGCTGTTTACTGAGAGGTGAGCTGGCTAAGGAGAAGCACAGAAAGATATCAGAAGCTGGGGTTCAGTACATGGGTAAAATTATATTTTAAGCTGCTATGTTATAGGAAAAGTCTCTCTTTTCATAGAAAGTTGTGCTGAAAGCATGTCTGAGTTTGAGATTTTGGATAGTAATACTCACTCATGATGGTATGACTGTTAGCTTTGCATTTTGTGCCAGGTGGAGAATTCACTTGGAGTTTTTTAGCTCTTGTCTTTGACACCTGCCCAAGGTGCCTCATCCAACAGCAGGAGAGTTAATGATATCATTCTTACCTCTGTACTGTCTTTGGTATGGAAACAATATCCAAAAGCAAAGGCCCCCCCAGGGCTTTAGGGAGGAAAAAAACCCCAAATGATATTAAGATTAAAATTTAAAAATGGGAATCTTGTGATTAAAGGATTGAGATGCAGGCTGCAGAACTGCTGTTTGAAATACACATGGGGATAAGGAGCAAATGTTATCACAGGATCTGCCCAAAAGCCCCACCAGCACAAAAAGGCAAACCAGGGGTGCAGAAGAGGCCCTGAGTAACCCTTCCATGGTGCAGAATTCCTGCCTCATGAAGCAAAGAACAGATCAAGACTAAGAAAAAGATCATGAAGTGTGAAAATGCAATCAAGGAAGTCTAGAGAGGAAAAAACCCCAGCTCTATATGCAGACATGGTCCCTTTTTTGTTGTTTTGTGTTGTTTTGGGTTTTTTTTACCAAGCCATATGCAGATTGTTGTTGCTTTTAATACATACATGTTCTGGATTTTGAAAAGAATTAGGAATGCCTGCTGGGTTTTGTTGCAGCTGTTCCAAAGGAATCCAAATGGCAGTTCTTCTGAAATTCTGCTCAGAGGGGGACAACATCCCTGATGCATTTGCTCTTGTGAACTATCTTAATGAATGGCTCCAGCTAATTAAAAGTGAAGTAAGTGCTGTTTGGTCTCAAGTTCTTGCTTTCATATTTTGTATTGGTTATCTTCATTTGTCTTCAGTCTGGAACACTAAAAATATTACTCAGCTGAGTTTTGGAAAAGTTAAAAACGTATGGGTTGGGTTTGCTTTGGCCCTTGGTCATCAAGGATATGCCAAATTAAAGATATATTTTGATTAATATCTCACTGGGAAGTTCCCCACCTGAAAAATCAAACCTTAAAGCCCAGTCCCTTTGTTTGCCAGAATTGTGTAAAGTTTTGATGAGGTTCAATCTTCCAATACTCTTCTCTAAAGCAACCCCCAATGATCCTGGTGCTTCAAACGCTGCCCCATTATTTTAATACACAAGAATTAGAGATGGAATTACATCCTTACTATTTAAAACTCCACAAATGACTCTGGTTTTGTTGCAGAGCAAAAATTCCTCCGATGTTTCTTCACAGTGGCAAATACCAAGTTCTTGGCGATTGCTTTTTGGCAACGGTCTCCCACCTGCACTCTTCTGATCCATTCTGAATCCTGCAAGGCCTGTGTGAAGTCTCAGGCGTCCCTGGAGATGGTGACCACGTGGTACTTGCCAAGCAACAGTGGCTGCCTTGGGTGTGTACATAAATTATTTTTAAAAATACCTTTCACAGATGTGAGTAGCTACAGAATTCAAGGTAATTTTCACAAATTGACCAAAGCAATACGTTTTGTACAGTTGTTATTGAATAACTTTGGTTGATTTTTTTTCCTAATAAAATATTTTTTAATAAACCTTTCTCTTTGGTTAAGTGTTGTTGCTACAGTTGTCTAACTTCTGTTGTGTGATTTCCATTCTGCTTCCATCTGCAAAGTTGCTACAACTAAAGCTCTCTAGGGAGATGGGCTTTCTTAGACTGACTTGAAGATGAATAGAGTGCTGTGGAACGTGAAGGAATTGGGGCATTGCCCTGAGAGCAGGCAGTGTGCAACTGATCTGTTCTATAAGCTCCATCTGAGGCAGCAGTTGTGCAGTGCAGAATTCACACCTTTAACCTTTGTCTTGGTCCTTGTTGCTTTATTCAGCTCCGTGTTCAGTTCTGATCCCTCGGAAGTGCTGGTTTGATCTTTTGGAAGTGCCTGGTCACATCAGTGCGTTTAAAGGTGGCTTTAAATCTAGAATTTCAAAGTGGTACTTCAAAAGTTAAAGACATGACATATATACCAGGTATCCTTTTAACTCTTCAGCCTACTACATAATTTTTTTTAGTGGCATTGTCATGCCTGCAATACAAATAGCAAAGATGTAGTAGTTTCTTTTGCTGTTATTTTGACTACACCACTACTTGTTACAAACATCTTAGGATGCCTTCTTTTTTAAAAACAAGATCTTTTAAGAAACATTTTAAAAAGACAACTCTTCAAACACAAGCCCCTGGCACCAAGGTTCTTTAACACTCCCCTAGGTGTTTCTAAATGCAGTTATGTGGGTAGTCCCTCATAGTTTGTGTGCTCAAAGGCAGCAGGCAGCTGGCCAGGCACCTGCTGGGGAGGTTGACAGGAATTGGGACCAAAATGGTGTTTTGGAGAAGACAGTGCCCTAGCACCTGCTGCTCCTTCTGCAACTGGACATCTGAGGGGACCTGTCTGTGCAGAGAGCACATCACCCCTACAGGCAGCGGGTGAGCTCCTTACAGCACCAGGGCACGAGCCCTAAGGAAACAGAACAGCACTTGAATGTCTGTTACCCTAAAGGTGTCATCACATCTGGTAGCAGCTCAGGTGGCTTTCCTGCCCCCTTGGGATATTCTTTAATGCAACTCTTTAATTCCTTAACCTTTGCATCTAAAGCTCTGAGAAAAGCAGGCCATTGAAAATATGCATTAGGATTTGTTGTCTTCTCTGCTCTTATTCCTTGGACTGACTTGAGAGCCATGCTGGTCTTGAGCTGCTCATCTTGGTCTCCACGTTTCAGCTGTTACAAGAAGGAAGTATGAAATCTAGTACTTGCAAGCAGTTAAAAGGCTTAGAGTTCTCTTCTAAAATTATCCAGTCTTTCTAAAAACTGCTCTCCTGTAAGGAAGCCAGAGCCCTGGAGCAGCTGTCCAGAGAGGCCACAGAGTCTGCTGCTCTGGAGAGATCCCAAAGCCGCCTGGACGCCATCCTGGGCACCCTGCTCTGGGTGGCTTTAACCAGTGTGCTCCCTTTGCTTCCTCTTCACAGAGATTCATGGCTCCAAAAATGGTTCCAGATAGTACACAGCTGGTTGCTGTACCCCAGCAAAGGGCAGGGGTGGAGTCCCCATCCCTGGAGAGGTTTCCAAGCCGTGGAGATGTGGTGCTGAGGGACATGGTCTAGTGGTGACCTGGCCGTGCTGGGGACTGGTTGGACTCAAAAAAGGGCAACCAGTAAATCCCAGCTTTTGCATTTGAAAAACTGCAAGCCTAGCATTCTTCTCATCCCATTTCTTTTGGGGCTGCACTTAGCCACTCAATCAATCATCCTTTCTCTCTGAAGCAGCCTCTCCCCTTCCTTCACCTCTTTAAATACATTTTGCAGGCAGCAGTCAGGACTTGTGGCCTTGTGTAGAAATAAAACAAGCACCCATCAGAAGCTCCTGGGCCAGTGAGACCAGACTTCTGCTGGCACCAGGCACCCTCAGTCAAACCTGTCCCAGCTGGCTGGGGCTACCCTGTCCCCTTTACCTAGCCATCAGACTGAGTCACACCCCCTCCTCAAAGACACTCCTGGTCTCAGAGCTGCCCCAACATGAAAATGGAAGCTGCACCAAGCTGTGATATCCTTTTCTCCTCCAACCCAGGCCAGGAACAATACTATTTATCAAAATTATTCAGCCAAACCAGCCTTGGGCAATTTACACTATTTTGAGATGGTGTCCAGTGCACCTTTAGCTGAAGTGATGGCATTAAGTACCCCCCGATTCAGCTTCACGTTAAACACAACTCCAAATAACAGTTGCTTTCCTGAACAGGCCTCAAAACCCAGTTATGATTTCAGGTTGCTGATGATTTTAGCAAAAACAGCCCCGTCAGCCTAGATTTCCTGCCTCTTCCATGCTTTACTACCCATCAGCAAGTGTACAGTGTACAAAAACCTGCTACAAAAAAATCCCCAGTACAAGTTACACATAAAGCCCCACCACATACTAGTTTAGACATAAAAGAGACGGGTCTGGTGAATTAAGGTTTTTCTGAAACAGCCAGAGACTGCCAGTGAGCACAGAACTTAGACCAGCTCCACCACAGCAGGGGCAGGGCTGGAAGCCCTGGTGAGTGAAGCCCACCAGAAGAACTCCTCCGAGCAGCACTCCAGCTTACCCTGCAGTGAAGCATCACACACCCAACACGCTGGGTGGCACAGTCCAAACCCTTTCATTGAAGGCACCACATCAGTGGTGTTCTGTACAGCCGTGGGGGCCCAGAGGTCCCAGCTCCCCTCTCTCCTCCCCTGAAAGCATCACCAACAAAACGCTTCCCCTTCGCAAAAGTGACTCTGAGCATCTCGTGCATATTTTATACCAAACAGCAGGAGGAGCATCAAACCAACCCATCAGATGAACAAAATAATACTCTTAGTGGTGCATTACAAAAGAAATGTGCAAGAGCTCCTCCTGGCTCAAGCTACAACACTGAGCATTAGTGAACACATTTCCATCAAGCACATTCCAACCATTTTGCCACTTGCCAGTCAAGACAGGATATCAGGAAACCTTCAAGCAAAACTTTTTTCCACAGAACAGTCTCTTAACAGTTTCTCCCTAATACAACGCGCACACAACAGCATATTGTCCATTTAAAAAAATATTTAATGCTGCCAACAAGTATAAAAATACAATAAGAATGGCAGTAAAAAACAAAATATTTCCTATTTTATTTCTTTTACAACTTTCTACATTGATACAAGCATTAGAAAAAAAACACAGGATGGCAAATCGTTTCGTTTTGCAAAGTCGCACGCTGCTGGTGGTCTTCATCCCCTCGGTGCAGTTTATGCTGTAAACAGATAACTGAGGTCCTCTTGGTACTTAACAGACCTCACTTTTTTTGTTCCCGAAGAGGGGGGTTCATGTCTCGCTTTGCATGTCAATAATTTGCAGTTTATAGCTGCAGAATATTCACAAGTCTTGAAGGCTTAGGTGTCAGTCAGTCTCGGCCTGCGACACACAACGCAAAAGAAAGTCACCGATTCAGTACACAGTACAGAAAAGAAAATTAAAAAAAAAAAACAAACCAAACCAAGAACAGCCAGGGGGTTTGCAGCTCCCTGTAAACACCAAAGCTCCTCAGGCTTTCCCTGCAGCCAGCGCCCTGGGGCTGCTGCTTCTCCAGAAGGCACAGACTTGTGGGAGAGCCGCCAGCCCCGGCCTTGGCCCAGCAAAGCCCCGGCTTGTGCCTGTAGTCTCAAGCACCCCAGAAAGCTGCTGGGGCTCGGGGGGCCTACAGCTGGGGGCACCTCAAAACTGCAACCCCAAAACGGTGCCTCGCAGGGCCCGAGGCTGGGCCAAGAAGCATTTCTGGGCAGTTTCTCCCAGTGAGGAAGGCTTCCCAACACGGGACACGCTGTTCTCACAGAAGGGAAGGCTCCACTCAGAGAAACAGGAGAGAAGACTTTGGGTTTTTTAAACCAAGTACTTCCAAAGTACTATCAGTAAATCACTAAGTCCTACAAGCACTACACTGATTTATAGAGCAGCTTTCTTTCATCAGTTCAGACACATTCAAAAGTTATTCCAAGTATTTGTCCTTCCAATTTAAATAAAGACTCAGACAGAGATGCAATTTTGAACACATTTATTTTTCGTACATAAAAATGAAAGACTGACCTAAAACTCTGGGGGAGAACAAAAAAAAAAAAGCCCAGGAAGACTGTGTTATGTCAGCTCTGCAAATTTTTATCCTCTGCCTTAAGCCACTTGGCCATGCAGAGGACTTCCTCTTTTGTCATCGTGAACCCTGAGTCCCTTGAGGTGTGCACAAGCAGCTACGTGAACTGCCATGCCAAGGAGCAGACTAAATCATCTGGTTAACATTCATTCAGCTTCAAGCTCGCCAGGCTCTTCCATCGCCTGCACAGCCCAAGTGCAGACAGACAGACACATTTACACTCATCTCTCATCAGTGGCATAGAAACCATGTCAGTGAACCATTGTACTCCAAGTTTAACAAAACTGGCTACAGTTTCACTTGCAGCACCTTACTTCCATACAGACGACCTGTATTTTTTCCCCAACCGCTATTTCACGCTGAACTCAATTACTTCATACATTTCAAGAAAAATACAGATGCACCATCACTTTGAGTGGACTCCTGCACCAAGAACAAACAGAAAACCTGAAGGACCAATTTGCAAACCCCTTGCAACAGAGAATTCTGTGAGTGATTTTTAAAGAAGAACGTGGGTGACTGGCACAGAGGGTACATCAGCTCAAGGAAGCCCACTAGGCACCAAGGATCCTGACCGACGTACTGCCACATCCGAGGGAAAAGCCCCCACAGGAACACGTTCCATTGAGCCCAACAGCATTTTGGAAGCAGCGTGGAACCCGCCGGCAGCTCACCAGGAACTGGGGCAGGGGGAGGCAGGAGAGGGTGTGGAAGGCACAGCCTTCAGCTCTACTCTTTCCTGAACCATTTCCTATGACAGAGGCCCCTGGCATCAACAGTTCTTCCCTCTGGCCTGTATTTGTTCCGATTTAACACCCAAGTTGTGCAAAACTGCTGCAAGTTTAAATCCTACAGAACAGCAAAGAACCACAAGGGCTCAGTGTGCAGTGAGGAGAAGCAGCTTCCCCCAGACTTTGGTTTTTTAAGGATTACTGAGGGACCAGCAAGAGTTTTATCCGAATTAGCTCCTGGAATGGTCTAAGGGATCTAACGCTTCATTTCCCCTTCCTACACCCGTATCGTCACAGGCAATCCCTGTACAAAACAGTTTTGTCCAAGACTTGTATTGGTCCATGGCCCTTAAATTATTAACACTTTGTCTTTCTCAAGACAGACACAACCATGGAACCAAACCAGGTTGTTACAGATCAACTGTGGAACATGTAAGTCCTGCTTCACTGCATCAAGAAGTGCAAGATGATGTAAGATGGTGTCCTCCTGCCCTGCCACACCCAGAAGAGAGGAATCCCTGGCTCAGGATCCAGAGAATGGAAAAGCCAGAATTTAAAGATGGAAGCAGGAAAAAAAAAATAATTCAAGTGACAACTTAAGCAGCCACAGTTTGGGCTCAGAGTTTGTGGGCTATTGGTGGCCCAGGAATTCTGTCCCCTGCAGACAGAACGGTGATAAATGACAGTGTGGTTCCAGTGAAGGTTTCACCTGCACTTTTTCCTTAGCCTCTTCTGATTACTTACAATAAAATCTGGAATATTTCTCTTCTAAAAGCATTTAATCACACTCCATGTGTTTTTCCATAACCAAAACATCTTTTCTAAGGCACACACACCCCCCTCTTCTACAAGTCACAGCCGATGCTGAAAAACCCATCATTAATAAAAAAAAAAACACCAAACACACAACCTTTTGCCAAACTTCTTGCTGGCTAAAAGTTCCCGAAGTTGTAAAAATGATTAAATATCTTAAAACCCATAAGCTGCCTGCTGAGGGTGCATCCCAGCCGCCAGGAGGTCACTCTGCTGGAGAGCTGCACAGCGGGTCGGCAACGCCAGAGGACACGCTGTCCTCTCGTGCTGACGCACCATGCCCAAAGTCAGAACTGCCTCAAACTCCTTGTTTTCTTCATCTGGCCCCTTCAGCCTTTGTTTACTATACAAACAGCACAGTCCAAAATAGTACTGGCTATTGTGCAATGAGAACTTCAGGAGTAAACTCAGCTGGGCTTTGCGTAGTACGCGTCAGATTGTTTGGGCCCCGTGCCTGGTATGTTACTACTAGGCTTGAATGTACTGGAAACCTTTCAAGTTAATTCCTTTGGATAAGGAACAAAAGTCATTATCTAGCTCTTGTAGTATTTTTCAGCAATGAATCCAAGAAATCCTTTCAAAAGAAGGATAAAAGGGGAGGGGGCAATTTCAGAAGGAAAAAAGAACCCCCTTCCCCACAGAACTGCATACCCAACAGGCTAGGAAACAGGAGCAGGACAACACAGCTCCCCTGAAGCCTCCCAGCAAGACACCACTCGAATAAACAGAGTGAGTGCAGATGATGAGGTCCCAGGCTGAGCCTCACGCCAGCCCTGCACGCACGGGCAGAACAGGACCCATGTCACACCACTCTTGAGGGGGTGTCACCGCCCGGGGACGCAGGGGGAGCGCTGGGGAGCTGTGAAGTGGCTGCAGCATAGGTGCTCCCCAAAGAGGAGTCACCCAGCCTCGGGCACAGCGCTGGGGCACCTCAAAAGCAGCTCTGGGCTCTGGGGAGAACAAACCGCCAAATTGCAACGCTACCAACCAGGCTGCCTCCTGCCAAAGCCACCCCTGAAGTCCGACTCCAGTCTCCTCTGATGTGCCCTCTGCATCTGCTCCTGATGGCTGAATTTTACTCTTCCTAGCGATTAAAACTCTACAGACACACAAAACACCACGTTTCACATTTAATGGAATGTCAGAACTTTAACAGCGTTGGCCTCCGAACAGTAGCTGAAGTCTGAATACATTAACAGTATGCTTTGCAGTGGGGGCTAAAGTTCTCAAAAGCCTTTAAAAAAAAAAACAAATTTCCAAGCCTTACTTAAATAATGAAAGCTACAAAAAAAAAAAATAAATAAGGAATGCAAATGAACAGAGTAGAAATCGTTAAGTGCTTCATCAGACCCCTAGCTGCTCACACCACAAACTGGAGAGTCGAAATACGGGGGGATGGCTGCACTATTATTTTCATGCACAAATTAGAATTACATGTGGTTTCAAAATCAAATTCTTTTTGGTCAGAAATTTGTACAAACTGAGCTTTTTAAAAGTACAGTGAACTACAAAAAGATTAAATATGCAATTATAAAATATATTTATCCTAGGTCGTAAGAATATAAAATGTTTATGTCCATGTCACTAGTACATTACACGTTACACACATTTAAGGATAACTTCTTTGCAGTAATAATGTCAATGATACAACACTGTTTATTGCTTGTGTCAGGCATGTGAACTTAAATCCAGGCACCCTTCAGCGGCCGAACCTCTGCGGTTCAGGGTTTGCTGAAGAGCTGGTAAAACATCCTTTTAAAAAGTGTATAAACAGTTGCAGCAAGGTTGTGCCTGCTCATAGAAACAAAAACCATCAACTCTGTTGGGGGGCAGCAGTTCAGTTTTGTCAGTACCTGCAGTGGAAAGTCCTGAGATGTTGAGATGGGATCAAGTTTAGGTCACTCCTCTATTGTACGTAACAGTCTGTCCCCGTTCCAGGGGGAAGGAGTTTACTGCTTAAAGTCACACCCCTTGGTCATTAACTGCAGCAAAAGGAGCCGCTGGAGCAGCCAGGCTGTTTACTTACAAGGAATGTTCTTGAGAATACATTTTCCAGCAAGAATAAACGCCAACTAAAACCAGTGTACCGAACCCGATCTTAGTGAGAATAGGTTTCCAATATAACCACCTTTTTCTCTTTCTTTCAGTCTCATTTAGCTTCTGCTTCATCTGCTGCAGCTTCTGTGCTGTGTTAGCTTTTCTGTCCTCTCGCAGTCGTTTCCGGACAGTGCTTAAAGGAGAAAAACAAAAACAAGGTAAATTGTATTGTGGACCAGGAAATAAGGTTACTAAGATGTTGTAACAGACCTCTTCCCAGCAGTTAACCCACCAGCAGCCTATGGCAGCAGGAGGCAAAATCTAAACCCAGCAAAACAATCCTGACTGTGCCTCAACAAGCCTCATGTGGACGGTTTCAGGCCAGCGAAGCCCCGGGAAGTAAGTGAATGACAGGTCTGAAGATCTAAGTGCTGCCTGACCTACGTGGTCAACGTGGAACAGAACTAGCTCAATTATCTGAGCTTAGTCTTTCAGCTCTGCCCGTGCCCTGCTGGGTGGCTCCTCTGCAGGCAGCATCTCAGCTGCCTGTGCCCACTGGCAGTGCTGCAGCTCGTGCCCCCGTGCTGCCCGTGCCTGCCCACAGACTTCACACTGCTCAGCCCGGGCTGTGACCCAAATCCTGCTCAAGGATCAGCCTAAAAATCCCTCCTGTGTTGTCACACTGCTGGGGCCACCCATAGTTTTTTCCAAAGGTAACATAGAATCATTAAATTTGGAAAAGACCTCTAAGGTCATTAAGTCCAACCTTCGACCCAGAACTACCATGAGCACTAAACCATGTCCTGAAGTACCTCATCTACATGGTTTTTGAACCCCTGCAGGGCTGGTGACTCCACCAGCTCCCTGGGCAGCCTGGGCCAAGGCCTCACCACTCTGCCAGGGAAGCAATTCTTCCTAAGATCCAATCAAAACCTCCCCGGGTGCCACGGAAGCCCATTTCCCCTTGTTCTATCACTAGTTACCTGGGAGAAGAGACCAACCCCCCCCTCACTCCAGCCTCCTGTCAGGGAGCTGTAGAGAGCCAGAAGGTCTCCCCTCAGCCTCCTCTTCTCCAGGCTGAACACCCCCAGGTCCCTCAGCTGCTCCTCACAAGCCATGTTCCCCAGAGCCCTCACCAGCTTTGTTCCCTTCTCTGGACCTGCTCCAGCACCTCAATGTCCTCAGACTGTGATGCCCAGAACTGGCCCCAGTGCTCAAGCTGTGGCCTCAAGCCCCCTGATCTCCAAGGAAGCACAGCCCTGACACAACAGAACACTTCCACTGCCTGACTGATGGCAGGAAACACCACACTCACACCCACGCTCCTCCTCCTGCTCCTGAGGGGCTCCCCCACACATCTACAGAATCGCTGGAGCTCTTTCACAACAGGGACAGACAAAACCATCAGGGCACTCAGGAGAGACATTTGTTTTTCTTCTGTTGACCTTTAAACAATAAAAACTTATCACAAGAAATAACAGGAGTTGTATTTTTAAAATAATTAAATAAAACAGTAAAATACAACCAGTCTTTTCCCTCTAGTGAGGAGGTTTTCTTGTGATAAGAAAATCACACAGTAATTCATCCTGTTAAGAGTGTATCTGCCCTCTAAATTGTTTCTTCATCTTGCCCACCTTTCAATGTTTCCACCTGTGATATCTTGGACTTTAGTGGACAGGTCAGTATTTATTTTCTCCACTTGATCTTTGTTCTCCAGGCCTATGCTGTTCCCATTGTACTTCTCCATGGTTATTTTGTTTTGGTGTGGAGGAGACTGCTCAGAACTTGGTGCTTGGTCCTCCTTAGAGAGCTCCTTCCACCGTTCCTGCAAAGAAGGAGAACATGTAAAATATTCCCCCAGCACTGAAGGCCCCCTTTGCTCAAGATGTCTTCTGACAGAGAAGTCACAGAAATAAAGGAATTACTGGATCAAGAAAATAAAATTGCTAGATGAAAAAAATAAGTCTAGGTGAAGATGCATCTCCTGCAGCAATGATCCCTTCTCATATTTCTCCAGGATGATGCTACCATGGAGGTATGAGGCTACCAACTGGAGTTTGTACAGTCCACAACAGCTCCACAATGGGGAAGCAATTTGTCTTGTATAGTCCTCACTATCCAGCACTTTCCATCTCCCTCTACTCTCTTCATGCCTGAGCTGTGCTTTTACTTTCCATGGCTCCAGAACACAGGACTTTGTGTGCCAGAACAGTCTAGGAAAAGAAAACTGGCAAAATCTGCAATGCCAGTAAAAAAAAACTAGGGTTATCTAGGCCAAAGTCATGGCCTACTACTTCACCTAGAGGTCCATTCGCCCAGAGATGTACTGCATCACAAAATAGTCACCTTGTTTTGAGACAGAATCTGACATGAGATAGAAGAAAACCAAAAAAAGATCCAAAGTTAAACTGTTTTGCTAGGTGTCTGTCCTAATGACAAACAGTCTGAAGGATTTGCAACATTTCATGAAAAAAAAAAACTAGAAAGGTAACAGGAAGGAAAAGAATTGCCCCTAAAACCCAGTCAGTTCTTTTCTCACAAATTAGTCATCCTATATAGAACAGCTTGAGGAGAAAAAAAATTCAAAATCAGTTACTTCTAAATGTCTCTGGTAGGAAAGAGGAACTGAAAACTGGCTCTTGACAAAAGGGGAGTTAGATGCTCGCCCCTGGAACAAATTCCAGACTGTTTACACCACGTATCAGACTCAGGGAGTGATGTCAAAGCCCAGCTAATTAGAAGTGACCCACTGGCAGAGCTGTAGCAACCAGCCCACTCCTCCAACACCCAGGAGCTTCCAGTCTGGGTCTGGAATTCACAAAGGGCATCTTCATGCACCAGGCACTTCACTGATCTCAGAGGTTTTTCTCTGTTTTGTCTCAAACAAGTGAAAAAACAAAAAGTCAACCTGAAAAAAAGAAACAAATGGAAATCCACTTAGGAGCTCCCTCTCACTGTCATGGGAAAAGGGCTTTTGGAAGACATGGTTGTGTCCATGAGACTTGCTGGCCAAGACAAATACTGGTTACATCTGGAGTGATAAGCCACACAGGAAGAACTGGAATCAGAGACTACTCTTGTCAAACAGAAGGAATTTCCCACCAAGAACTCAATTTTATACATGCAATAGGAATGTCTCAAACAGCTGGTAATTTTAAATATCAATAACCAGATGATGTGAACGATGGGACTGGTAAAATAACAGCCAGCTTGGAGCAGGTAGACACAGAGGCTGCTGTGGCTAAATTGTGTTTGACACGGTATGATAGCACCTCAAACTCTACTGAAAAGAACAAACAGAGCTTGATGGAAGAAACCCAGCACCCTCAGGATCACAACCAAAATGCCTCTGTAGGAGAGTTAGGGCCTGGTTTGCCTCTTGGAAAGAACAGAGACAACAGAAAGATGTTCAGTTGACAGAATCAGGTGAATGTCAGAAGCCGTTTTTGGATTCACCAGTTTTAGTACAAAATTGTAATATTCCTGTTCTCTGTCTGCAAAACACATCTGCAGATCTAAGGAATTCAATTTCCTTTGTTGTTTCAAAGCCACAAATTTGTTTTCCAGAGACCCCTCGTTTCAACATGCTTTTCTGAAAGAGTGATGGCAAGTTGTTCTACGACTATGTTGTTGAAGCACTATTAACTTATTTTTATTATGAAGGAATTCTACAGGAATTAAACCTTCAATCTTGTTCCACCTCATCCAGCTTTTACAGTGCAGTGCTGTAGTACAATCAGGAAGCAAGTCACTGTTTCAGCTCCAGGACCGTGCCGTGGTGGCACCACAACCCCACAGCTCCACAGGGCTTCAGGACAAGAGACTCCTCACCCCCATACAAGTGCTGTGCAGTTGCAGCCACCAAGGTTCAAGTGTAGGCTGTGTTTGCCTGCCCAGTTCAGTGACCTCTGAAACCCGTGGAGATGTCAGAGATGAACTTGGGTAACGTTCTATTAGAGAATGGTCCAGTGACTTCATGCCCTCCCCATCCCTAGCAGAGAGCAGCAAACACCTCTCACATGCTGGACAGCACAACTTCCCTGAAAGGGGGAAATAAAGACCCAGCTGACCTCAAAAGGATAAACTCCTCTGAAGTGCTGCCAACTGAGCTGGCAGCAACTCTGCACATGTCCCTGAGGCCTGGAGAGAAAAGCACCAGGACAGCTGCCTGCATGCAGAAACCACTGGTTTAGGAAAGATCACCTGAACAATCCTGACAGGAAAAATGAAAAAAGAGCAGCTGAGAAGTGTGCTGCCTTAGGCATTCTCTTAGAATGAAGAAATAACTCACTTGAACCTGACAAGCAGCATTCTGAGTCAGCAACACTCCCTTCAATTCAGAAACAAGAAAGCTCATAGTTTAGATGGGCAAGTGTGGGAACCAGAGCTGCTTCACAGTTTGGAACGTGGCTTTTTAAAGAACAAAGCAAAATTATTAGAGGGAAGAATACCCTCACACCACTGGAAACAGCTTCCAGAAGACAGAGCCTGCATTGCTGTCACTGTTAGGATGAATCTGGCAGTACTCCAGGCACACAGTGCAGGGGTTGGACTGGCACCACTCTACCTAGGTGTGGATCAGTAACTGTGCCAAATGATTCATCTATTTACATGGCAAATCAAGAAATGTTTGTATGAGAGAAGACTGACACCTACCAGGACCACAGAAATGAGGAAAAAAGTGTTCCAGCTTATCTGCTTCATTCATGATTTTAAGAGATGAATGAAAAGCCCTAGCACATGAAAGCAGGACCAAAAACCCCAAAACTCATTATACTGAGCTAGATGCTACTAACTGAAACAGACATTTCAAAGGATAAAAAAAA